AATCCAAATTTCATACACAATTTGATAATGAGCGATGAAGCTCACTTCCAATTAAATGGTTTTTGTTAATAATCAAAACTGCAGAATATAATGCAGAATGTATATGGTCTCTTTCTTAGTTTATATTCTTCTCACTTTTATCTTATAATTTTATCTTAGAAAATTGACTTATTTTTACTATACCTTTAAAATAATTCCGTTTTATGGTTAACAAACTATACACAATTTAATTTACTTATTTTATTAAAATCAGATCACATTTAATTTCAATTACGAGTACATATCCGTCCCTTTTATATCCTATTTTTAAAAATATTTATTACTTATTCTATATAAATAATAAAAACTTATCAATTACCCTAATTTAATCATTATTTTCCGAAATAAAAAAACAAAAAAAAGGATTAAAAACTTAAGACGGAATAAAAAGAAAAACAAGAAAAGGAAATGACATTTGGCGCCCGTTGAATTGCCACCATATGTTTACAAAAAAAAAAAAATTAAAAATTATTTTTAACATTTCGAAATATTTAAACTGATTAATAACTATAAAATAATAACAAGAACAACAAAAGAAGAGAGAATTATACCTTTAAAATATCGAAAAAAAAATATTACACGCTTATATAAGATGCTCATAAAATAAATGTCAGCTCAGCTTAACTCAAGAAGCTTAAGACTGTCAACGGGAATTAACATTTCAATTTTATTATATTGAATGCGGTTTTTTTGTTTTCCAATTTTTGAAAAAAAAAAAATAAAAAATATAATTTTTTTTTGGAACACATATTGGATGAAGCTGTTTAATGCGGAATTTATAGGAAACGTATATGTAGGGAGGATTTAGGCAACATATACGTTTCTGTTTCCTATGAGATACACAAACATGGCGAAAAAAGTTAAGAAATGTCGGAAATAATAGCTCGTGTCAGCAGATAGTCGTTTGAAAATGATCATGCTTTGTCATAAAAGTTTCTACATTCTTGCAATATGAAAAGGTTTTACTGTTCGAATATTAAAAAATTAATATTATGTAGTTCCATTTTATGAATTATGAACAATAAAAAAAGTTAGCAACCAGGACATTTTTAAGACAACAACAAAAGATTACTTATTTAGTCAGCTATGAAAGAAAATTCCTGTTTTTTTTATGTTATACGAGTATATTCTAAAAACTATTGAGCTAAATTAAAATTATTCCAATTATTTAATTACCATTGAACAACACATTGAATACGTACGTGCTTTTGCTATAAAATCTACATTTTCAAGAAATATTTGAATCTAGTTTTTCTTAGTAGTGGCATAGGTTTTAAGATTACATCAAACAAAGGTTATTTCAAAATACAACTAAACGAGACAATAATTTTAAAATTCTATTCTAATACGAGTACACTGCGAGAAAAAATGTTTAACTAATTTAAATTTTCATTATGATTTGTTGCAAACCAAGTTAATTTCAGAAAAAATCTCAAATATTTGTGAGTATTCGATTATTATGTTGAATTCACTGAATTAACGTATATTTTAAATGCAAATTTCCATAAGTAAACCCTTAAGGATGTATGGAATCATATATCATCAGAGGAAGGCTTCAAAGAGGCCCACCACTTTTATGTTTATTTGTTAGTATTTTCGGCAATTGTCTGGGAGCCTTTTTAAACAGTATTTTTCAAAAAACAAATTCTAAATCTTTCAAAATTGAGATTCTGAGATATTCCAATATAACCCAGTGTGGCTTTGTGTCAATTTGCAATAGTTTTTTAAGGTATTTTAGTGTATAGAGAGAGATACATAGAATGCTACAAAGTAGCGCGAATGAAATTTTTGTAAAATTTAAATACTACAGGAACAATATGTTCATTTCAGTGTTCATTTCGTATTGAGGTAATTAATAAACAGTAATTACAGTCCAAAAATTGAAAATCTAACATCTATAAATTCGTGTTCTTTAATAATTTTTAATAGATACTAGCAATCAATTTATATGAGGAAGTAAATTGAATTAATTGATTCGCAAAATTATCTTAAAGTGAACAGGATTCACTTTCTCTTTTTTCGTAATTATAATAAAAATATTGTTATTGCATGTTTTAAATTTTCCTTAAAGGACATTGTTAAATCTTATATGAAGAAAGAAATAAACAAAGAAACCTTATCAGACCACTGTTAATTTAATACCAACTTTATATTTTAAGTTTGACAAAGAAAATATTCCTTATATTCCTGCCAGATACGTTCTCTTCATAATTATTATTTTAATAATTGAATTATTGTAATTTGATCGAATTTTATCCGATTGTTGTTTAGCTTCTTAAGAAAATTAAGTTATAACAAAAGTAATTATAACGTTCCTGTACAAAATTTTTTTTTATTTCCGAAATTCTATGCATAAGGATTGTTACATGGAATCTTTTATCATTAAATTTTTAAATATATGCATTTCTATATAAATATTATATAGTTTCCTTTAGAATATTTCTCATGGGACACATTATCAATGAAGCAATACGATAGTAATTTTATCCTTAATAAGATATACTCTCCCCACGTTTGTACATCTGAATATTTTTTTATTGTTTACACCGTAGTAATGGATTAAGTCAATTAGTAAAATTAAATTTGTTATAGTTAGAAAAAAATAATAGGGAAAATTTTCATTTTAGTCTCTTAGTTTTCTTTATCAGCGTATTATAATGAGAATAGAAATAATATAACAAAAAATGTCGAAAAAATAAGGTAAAATAGACTCTGAAATAAAATTTTAATAAAAAATCAAAGAAAAATTTGGAAACGCTTCCATATATAAAATTTACTTTCACTTTTTCACAAAATTATACTTACATTTTTTGGATTGACATTTTTACATTCCTTTTATGTATTTATGTGTTCTGTATGTTGTTAGTGTAGAGGACATAGGAAAAAAAAATTATGTTATTTATATTGTAGACAAATTAACGCTACCGGGAAAATTTTATGTTTTCCTTTTTCTTTCAGTTCTTCCTCTCTTTATTCATATGTAATATACTCATAATTTATTTAAAATATACTTGTATATAAGTCTAGGTATATGTGGTCTCTTAGGTCCCTTTGTCAACCAAAGAAACAAAAAAATATAGTCTTGTATGCCCTAAGGGTTCACCAATATAAATAAACAAACAAAACTTAAAAGATGTAAGAATTGCGTTGACATTCATTTGGCATAAATTAAGAGGAAAATAAGGATAAAAGAATTTTAATTTAGACAAAAAAAAGGATCTTTAAAACCTTTATTAAAAAAAAAAAACAGAAATACTTACATTGTTTTAAAAATGTCATATAAATAATTTACAGGAAGAGTGTTCATATTTGTATGTGAAATGTGCATATACAAAAATGAACATTTTGCTTCTGTTTTCGAATGATTTTTGAATGAAGTTGAGAATAATTAAAAAATTTAATTATGTGGGCTGAGCCAAAACTGAAACGTAACAAGTTGAGCTGCGTTGACTTGCCCATGTTGTCTTTTTTAATTTTAAATCATAAAATAATTCATTTAAAGTTGCTGTCATTTGATCTCTAGTTTATAGTGACAAATTAAATACAATTTACATTAAATATGCGAAAAATTTAATAAACATTTAAGAGCAGCATAACTAGAAAATTTGAAGAAATATTCATGTCAATTTAATCGTCCTTCGTGACGGGCCATGTTTTTAAAACAATAGAGATGAGTAAATGATGTAAAAGTAGACACGGACGTGATAAAGCAATACCATAAGCAATTACCGATATTTTGATGCAATGTAATCATGATGAGGCCTAGTTATACTATATTTTACACACTCCTCTTCTTTTTATGGGCGTAGCTAAACACAAACTATAAAAATAAAGTGAAATGCAATACAGATGTTGTCACTGTAAATATGAGAAGAGAACGCATGTTTTGTACTATAAAGGAGAAGAGAAAGCAAAAACTGTAAAATGCATTGATGCAAATGAGAAAGCAAAAACTGTAAAATGAATTAGAGAATTCCGCGAGAGAAATGCTTCAAAGAAGGTTAGCAAGCGAAACGAGATACCGAAAAATATAGAAAATGTGTTCCATATATACTATATATACGAAGAAAACCTAGAAAAAATCAAAAGATCTAGTAGAACAGGCGGAAAATAGTCCTAAAATACTAAACGAATTGCATGGCCGAATAGAAACGAAACATTATACGATTTAGAGTGGTACGAACGACAACCTAATTTTAAATTCGCCGTTTCAACGTTGGAGGGTTATACATAAAATTTTTAGTTCTTAGTCGACTTTTGCTCAGCTCAGTTTGCCGCCCTATATTATACTGGACGACTCTGTGCAATCACATAGTGCTCAAATTATAAATAAATAGTTTAAAAAAAAATCATTTTTAATTTTTATTTTTAATTGATTTGCATTATTAATATTTAAATATTTTATTTAGTTTAATATTTTATTTTAATAATAATATAATTATATTAAAAATGTTTAACATAAAAAATAACTTATTCAATATTAAATTTATTTTTCATTTTGTATAAAATAAGAAAATTTCCAATTTTCGTATACATAATTTTTTCATATTTGCTTTATTTTTTTGTAAATAATTTTTAATAATATTTTTTTAAATTAATAAATGACAATAGGACATAATCATTATTCAAAATATTATGTAAATTAAATTAATAAAAATCAAATTTTATAAAAAATATTTTTGAGAATTAGAAACAAATTGTGTCGAAATTTTTTTGAACGCCATGTCTTGTTTACAAAATTTGGCGCTATTACACTTATTTTTAATAATAATTATTACAGTAAATTATTTAATTAATTAAATTACTAAAAGAGTTAATGAAAAAAAAAATATTTTATTTGTTTAATAAAGAATTTTTTTTGTTTTTTAATTGCACCTTTAAAATTGTAATAGTTTACTTTTTTTTCTTATCTTAAAAATTAATATCACCTATCGAATATACGTATACATATTTATTATATAATTATAATAATAATAATAGCAATATTTTAATAATTATTTCATATTTTTAAATTTTTCACTTAATTTATTTTAATAAATTAAAAAATAAAATTCGATTTTTAAATTTTTATGCTACATAATGAACGTTGTTAGAGGATTTTTTTTTTAACATTTTAATTTTTTATTTATTTAATTACTCGCATTAAAATTCAATAAGTATAATTTTAATATAATGATCTATTATAATTAATAATGGAGTAATGGTATTATAATAATATTCTAAATATAGGCTGCGAGCAGACAGAATCAATATCACTTGGAAAATTTCACTGATAAATTTGAATAAAATTAAAGACTTTTCGAAAATGGCGTTCTAGTAAAAGTTATTAAAATACTTAATTAAAAAATTTTGAGCCCTTACAAATTTATTATACAAAATGGCTAATAATTGCTGAAATAATTAATTTTTGTGATTTTCATTAACTTTTGAATTGAATTTTATTAATTTAACATTTTTTCGAAAATACTCGTACGCCATTTGAAATTCGAAAATTCTGTGGAGAATATAAAAAGTAGGCAAATTATTATGTCATTAAAATTTTGTGTAGTGCAACGCACGGTCATCATTGCAAAATCCTAAAATGCAAAATATTTAATTGAATAATATAATAGATTACACCTGCAAAGCGAAACGTAAACTGCAATGGAATTTTCTAATGAATATTGCCTTTACTTAATTTCAAATAAATAAAGGGAATGGTAGAATTCATTACAAAATTTATTCCGGCAAAAAACGTGATGTTTTTCATGGTTAAAGCCACATTAATAAAATGTAATAAATCACACTTTTACTTGGTGTGATTGAAGAGGCTATACTTTGTAGTCAGACATTTTATTTTTTAACGGCTCTACATTTTATTATTAATTTACAGCCATCAATTCAATTAAATATAAACATTTGATTTCAATTCGGGATAAATTCCCAGTACCCGTGCTTCTTTAATTATTTTTAAAATAAATAGTGTTGATTATATTTGAAATTTATTATGCTTAATATTATTCTGTCGCCCAATAAAAAATAAACGTTCGCAACCAAATATTAATTACATTTATATATAGAATATATTTTAATTAAAAAAATTTAATAGAGGAATAAAATTTGGAGTTTTATTTAAGACGGTTTTCTATATATGACCCGAAATTTTTAATATTCAATTTTTCAAACTCGAATACATTAATTATAGGACTGTTTCTTTTGCTTCGACAGATCAAACTTTACCTATTCCTACCACAATTACATTTATTTATTCTTATCCCAATGCTCCAATGTTTTTCAATAAAGACGTTATTGAATATTTTATACTTATGAGCTTGATATTTTCAATATTTTTTTTATTTTTTAAATTTCTAATTGTTTAATTTTATTTAAGTTTCATATTGTTTATTTTTTTCTTATTTATTTATTCATCTTTTATTCTTTTATTTACAATTTATCGAATGCACTTGCATTCGTTAACATTTCACGAGTTAAACGCCATACCTGTTTAGCAGCATTTTCCAATGCACTCGGTGATTTACCTTTAAATAAATCCAATGTTGGTAGAAAATAATGTGGACAACGACGATATTGTAAACATGATATTAATTGTAAAAAAATACCATTAATACGATCAGCAATACAACATTCATCCCATTCAAATTCACGTGGATGTTTTTCACATTCATATAATAGTAATGTTTTTAAATGATATACCGTTATTGGATTACCAGGTAAATCTAGATGACGATCACGAAGTGTTTTTAAAATGCTTAAACAACGTTTTCGACAGCCGCCTATACATATATGTGTATGTATGTGATGATTCAAATAAATTCACCCAATATATACCAAATATATAATGTGTATGTATGTATATATATTACAAATTGTATCGATTGTTTTGTAATATTCAGGATATTTGAAAATTTTCAACCATATACAAGTAGATAATATTATATAAGTATGGTTTTGTATACATTATGTTCCAAATCATTAAAATTGACAGCAACAACAGCAGTAATATAATAACAGCAGCAACAGCAGCAATAGTATAACAGCATAACAATACATGGATGTGTACAACCAGTTAATGAACAACAGGAGCAATGTAGCAGAAATATAATAAGGATTAAAAAAAAATAAGAATATTAAAAAAAAATCGGAATGTTACTTATTTTGTTTTGTTTTCTATATAGAGTATCGAATTTACTGAATTTTAATCTACTTTTTTTCTGTGCATACATATTACTGATCCTATATCATCGGAAGATTAAAATTAACAAAGTAAACAGATATGTTCACTCATCCTTAATCTAAATCTACCTTTATTTTCAATATGAACATATGAACATATTGTATTTATATTCATATATTAAATTCGCACCAAAATAATAACACTATTGGAAAATATGGAATAGGATATGGGTTACTATTTCATCAAAGAACCTCTCATTGGAATAACATCTTTATAGTTGAAAAGGTTTTGTACCGATATTTTCTAAAATAAATTTGTTTTTATTCAAAGTTCGAATTCCATATTAGAATTCGGTCAAAGTTCCAAATCCAAGTTTGATTCGAGTTTGAAATTTCGGAAAAGATGAGAGGTTCTTCGGAATTATCGCAAGTCAATTTCTAGTTTTAAACATATTGAATAAGTTTGTTTTTGACAAACTATGTTGTCCATTTGAGTTGGTCATACATAACGATCTTATTCACTTAGAAAAGTCAAGAGCATGGGTTATCCATAAATGTATTAATAATATTAGCAAAAGATCTCGTATTCGGGAAAACTCGAGTATTCCGAAATTAAGTTAGTAATATCATTCCGTTTTTTAATGAAACAAAATTGAAAAATGTGCTCAAAAATTAAATATGCTCTTGTTAACTTAAGGGTGTGAATACCTGTATAATATCTAAGTTTATATAAATACTCTATATGTACAATATATTGGTACATAAATAAGAACCTATAGATTGTAATAAAAATGAGATAAAAAAACAATCTGCGAAAAAAAAATTTACGAAACTATAACAAAACATTTGTGTTTTTTCCATCTTACCTTGTAATAAACGATTTTCTGCTTCAAAAAAACTCAATACCCATGCATCACCTTCCATACTTGAATTTTTACCTTGTAATGCTATACTCTCTTTTGATAATAAATCGAATCCTTCTGTTTTAACTTCAGCAACAAGACTTGGATGCGGCCATGGTATATTCATTAATGGCCAATGTGCTGCTGAACGTGGCCATATACCAGAACATTTAAATGCTGGTGTTATTTGAACAATATAACGTTCACGAATTCTTAATTTAACTTCACTTGTATCACCCATCATTTTAACCATATCCCGATAAATACTTTTATCACATGCTGCTGCAACTAATGTTTGAAAACGTGAACGAATTTTACGTGATGACAAATAACCAGATGCTGTTATAAATTCAACCCATAATGACATTGAACGTTTACGGCCATCGCTTAATTTTAATACAGCACAACCAGGTAATGTACCATCATCAACAAAATTAAATACACCCATTTGATTCAAATATAATACAATTTCGAACTCATTAGGTGAAATGACTTCAATACCCTCAAATCTATTTTAATTTAAAAACAAAATATAAAATATAAGAGAGAGAAAGAGAGAGAAACAGAAATTTAATGTTTTGATTTAATTTCAATATTAAAATTAACAAAAAATTAACAGTACACAATTTGGTGTGTCTGCATCGTATATGCTTTTGTATATAGACATTGTTGCACAATAAAATTCCTTTGACATTTTAATGGTAATTGTAGAATAAATTGTAAGTAAAGGTATTAAAAGATAATGTTAAAGGTACAAAAAAGAATTATTGTCAACATCTTAGGTCAAAAAAGATCTTGTATTGTTAAAATTGTATAGATTTCTTTATATAAGTGTAGAAAATTGAGAAAAAAAAAGAGAATAATTGGGAAAACATTTTTGTGTCCAGATTTTTATTGTTATTTTGTTTTTATTGTTAAATGGCGGTTGTGATACCTATGGTGTTAATGTGTCAATGCCTTACATATTTAAATGGGAGTCAAAATATTTAAAAAGATACAAGATTTTATTTTTAAGCGATTTTATTTCGATTTACAAGAATAACAAAATACTTATAGAGAAAATTATCGGTCCTCCATAATATCTGTATCTTGTGTTTAGTTATAATGTTACAAAATCAAGTCTGATTCCCCTTAAATTTGGGTATTTATAAAGAACAGTTTTTGGTCAAAGTTCGAGAATAAATTTTACATTTGATTGTATATACATCAATTTTAATCATTTATAATGATGCCTTCCGTTATCATTTCTTGGATTCCGGCTGATTTAAGATAGATGCCAGTAAGGAAACTGGTGGGCTCTAGTTAGATGACAAGGATCACTTTGGGTGTTTCTGTGATCTATTAAGTTGCTTAATGAAAAAATTTCAAACTGTTTTGCCAATATTACTGGGATGATTGCCTTAAACTGTGGCAGTTTAAGTTCTACATAATATTTGCCTATGCCACAGGCGTAGAGCGGTTAAACTTCTAAGACTCAGTAAGTGAGGAAGGTTACTCGTTCTTTTGGTTACGGCCGGCTTAAATATTGTATACAAAAATTGGGTCTTACCACTGAATATTATTTGCACAAGTAGGGATTCATTTATATCTACGTAATTGATTCTTCGAACCTTTATAAGAATTGATTGAGAAAAATTGATTAGAACAAATTATGATACTTTCTATGTTTCCTATGTTTACATACAAATATCTGCCTTAATTTGATTTTTTCATTTTTTGTATAAATTCGTCCACGAAAACGTGATTACTGATATTATGTTCAAAACAACAAGAAAAAAATGGTTGAAAATTTGATTGTTTTTTTTCTTTTAGTAAAAAATCGCGAAAATAATAGTCATTGTTGAGATTCTTTTTTTCTACTACCAAGAATTATTAAGATAAAGTTGGAATATCTAAGCTTGTTATATGATCAAATAGACAATGTTGAGATACAAAGGAATGCATATTATTTAAGATTTATCTATAGATTTAGGATAAGGAATAACAATTAGAACAAATGAAACAAAGATATTAACATGTTCTTAGCTTTACCGTCGGGATCTGTTTTATATTTGTAAGGTAATGAAAATTTAAAGAAAAATACTCAAATTTTTTCACTTTATATAGCAAAAATTTTTTAATGTAAACCTATATATTAGTTTATTTCAATAAAGAGGAATTTTTCATATATAGAAAAATATAGGAATTCGTTCCTTCGAAAATCGTTCCCCCGTATTTTTAAATAGAATATTTTCAAATAGTCACTGAATGTCATAGGATATTATTCATAATATAATTGAGTTTTCATTTAGTATAGACTAGAGCCTCAAATTCAACATTGAATTTATTCTGGAAACTGAAATATGTTTGAATAGTCACTGTAGTTAATAGTTGTGCAATAGTTTATGACATCAACTGTAGTGTTTTAGAAAATACAAGTATGTATTACATTTATTTTCAAATATCGTATGGAAAAATTGAAAATATTGTGAAAGTATGAAAATAAAATTGCATTACGATTAAATTTAAGATGCTTTTCTAATTAGTTTAAATTGAAATTCTCGAGATTTCAAATTGCTAAACTGCATTTAGAGAACGCAAAGTGAATATTTACAGCTCCAAATATAAATTTTGTTTCTCCTACAATTACATAAAATATTGCAGACTTTTAGGCTTTCAATTTTTTGATTATAATTTTTTCTTACATTTTATTTATTACAATTTTATTGTAAAATTCTTTAAGTTGTCGTCTCTAATTTTCGCATATACAAACATATAAATATTTGCATGTATTCACCATTAAATGTGAAATTATAAGGACCAGTATAAATCAAATTCAATATAAAGCAGAGATGAAAGATAAAAATTCAACTTCCATGTTCTGAGAAGAAATTTTAGGCACAGAATGCCATTTGGTTTTTCAGACAAGAGACTCAAATATGAATAGGAATTTAATAAAATTTTACTATCAAACTTCTTCCACTAAAAAATTTTCAGAATAGAAAATATTGCGCATGTCTATGGCATGTATTAACTTACATATTAACTGTATGTGTTATATTAAAGTTCATATTTCTTAAAACAATAATGAATTTCTTAATTTTAAAATTATGTATTCATATTATATTAAATAATTAAATATATGTATGTTAATATATATGTTAAAAAAAAACATACCTTCCATTACATTCTACTAAACTTGATATAAATCTTGGCTCTTGTACTTCAACTTCCTTTAAAATATCTTGTACAATTTTACATATTTCTCTAATTGCTGCTGAAATTTTTAACATTCTTGATTGTACACGTTCAGCACAAAATTTATTCATTTGATAAACCATACGTGTTTGAGCTGCTAGCATATCTGGTGGGACCAACATTTTTGCTACATTTAAGAAAAAATTTAATAATTTTTATTTGTCTTTTATTAGGTTGGGAAAGAGTGAGATTGAAGGGATTAGAAAAAGGAAAAAAATAATTTCTGTTTTGTTGTGATTATTTTATTTTAAAAGTCTTTCGTTGTAAAAATCTAATTCTCATCAAATATTCCGTGATTTAATGATTTTTTATACAGCCATTACGCTAACAAATTTATTAAAAAAATTCTAACATAAAGGCTCCACATAAATGTGTATAGTAAGGAAATGTGTATATAGAGTAGATTTAGTTGGACATACACATGGATACTTATACATTTGCATATATGAAAATTTCTGTGTATATGTGTATTAGCTGCCATTTAAAACTGTATGTACTCTTTCTTACATAATATTTATATTGTTTTATAGAAATAATTACGGCAAAGCAATTATATGTGAGAAGACGGCGCGGGAGCACTTTCAAAATGATTTTAAAATTAGTAGAACTCTTTTCTATTTTTCTTTATATTCATGTACAATGTCTTTCTATTTCCTTAAATCGCTGTCATTCATATAAGTATACATGAAATGAACCAATAACCATAACTCATAGCATACCGGAGAATAAACTAAAAAATGGCATGAATATCCGGTATGTAAACAAAAATTAATAATACATTCGAATACAATTCAATCGAATAGTGGTGACAACATACTCAAGAACAAAAATAAAATAAATCACACCAAAAAAAAAATTAAAAATTTAAATTCTAAATTTCTAATAAAAAAAATTATAAAAGTAAAACATATGTGGGCAAATTACCGTTAAAAACTCTTCACTTTTTACAACTGTTTTAAAATTTTTTTATTACACTTTTCATCAGGACCTTTACTTTGTCTTTTTTTCTTGTTTTCTTTTTAATTTATTGTTTCGATTTTCTCTTATTATTGCAATACGGTTCTTTAGATATTATTTTTTTTTTCAATAAATGACAATCAAGTAAAAAACGAATGAATGCAAACGAAAAAAAAAAAATTGCGAAATTAAAAAAAATTTCGCTTTGTTTTGCTTTTTATTTCTTTCTTTTTTTTGTTATTATTTTTATTATTCTTTTATTTAATTTCAAAAATTTTTGTACAATGAATTGTTCAAAAAAAAAAATTATGCTTCCTTTTGTCTTTTTTTTTTTATAATAATTATAATCGCGCAATAATAAATGTAAAAAAAAAACAACAACAATAAAAACCGCTTAAATAAGAGACGAGAGTGAAAAAAAAAATTCTTTTTTTGAACGCGTTGTTTTTTTTTAATATCTAAATTGCGGCAAACGATGTCTTCTTTATCTAAACTGCATCAACTGCGGGTGAAGAAATTCCAACAGAAATTCTTGTCTGTTTTATTGTAACTTCTTATTTTGTTTTTTGTTTTTTTTTTTGTTATTTTATTATTATTTTATTGTATAGCATAATTTAATTGAATATATATATATATAAAATAAAAAAATTTAACCTTTATTTTAATGGTGTTGGTGTATACGCAAAAATTGCATTTGAATATAAAAACACAAAAAAAAAAAAATTAAAAAGCAATTTTAAATTTTTTATTATTTTTTTTTATGGGGCAATTTAAAAAATTTACTTGAAAAGTGCATTATATGTGCCGATTTAAAATTTTATTGGAAAATTTTGTAAGAAATTTTTGCAAGAAAATTCCCATTCTGAAAGATTACAGTTAATTTTTTTGAAAACTGGTTCGATGTTACTTAACACTAAACATACCATAACGGGTCAAATGACCCATTGCATTGAAAATGCACGTATAATTTTATTGCGTTTGCACATTTGACTTCATGACTTTTTCTAAGTAATTAATGTACAGTTATAACAATTTTTTTTGTTTGTTTTGTTCTGCTTATTCTGAGTAATTCTTGTTGTATACCGATATCTACCACAACGGGTTATTTGACTCGCTATGATAGAAATAGGTATATATTGAGTCTTGGTATGATTAGTGTTAATTTAGTCATCCATTCTGCTGCGAGAACTCGATTACTCATTTACGAATTATATACAATTTATGCTTTTTAAAGGTTAAAGCAATTGAATTTCTTTGTTTTAGCACTTACACGCATTGTGTTCCATCTTCAATATATGCCAAAACATCTTGGATACAATTTATTATTTATTTTTGTACCATAATAAGGAAATCTCAGAATATTTTTTGATCAAAAGCAATTTATTTGACTTCAGTTAAAATAGAAATGGTTATAGTAGACAGTAATACCGTATACCACCATATACCATACGTAAATCACCTCATAAGTGCTAATAATTACAATTATTACAATTATTCCGTTATCAGTATTTATTCGAATCTATATTGAAAACAAAAAGATTTCCAGCTGCACAGCACTACCAATGCTAATTCGATTTTTTTGTTTATAACAAAAGTGTCTGTGTTTCAATTGCCCAAAAAACTCAAAAAAACAGTAAATAAAAATTAATGAATAAAAAAAAGCATACCACTACATTTACAAAATATTTGGAATGTGGTTGTAAATTCAAAAAAAAAAAAAAAAAACTGCAATAATCTGTTTTTTTTTTCTCTCATTTCCCTTTCAAATACTTATTTTATAAAAAAATTTCCAATTATTTCCAATGGCCATTTTTATACCAACAAAATAATGAAAAATAATGAAAATAAAATTTTTTATTCCAATTGGAAATTTATTTTCAATTTTTGTCCAATTGGAAAATTCCAAACCACACCCTTCATATACATACATATGTTTATTAAAAATATTCACCACTAATAATTTCAACATTCATCCAACACAAAAACTAACACTTAAACAATATTTTGAAAAAGTGTTAGTAAAAATTTTGGGTGTAGTTATGTGCAATAAAAAATATACAGAGTGTAAGAGTATGTGTGTAAATTGGTGCTATGACATTTTGAATTTTTTTCTTTTGTTTGGTTTTGTTTTCTCCCCTTTTTTTAAAAATGATTATATTTGGCGTGTATAGATAAGATACAACCAGATTAATTTATTTATGTAGAATATCTAAAAAGATAAGGATAGGAAGATTTTTTGTTTTTGTTCATTTGTTTATTCGATTAATATATTTACTACTACTACTACTGCTACACCAACTACTACTAGTAGTATTCGTTTTAGCAATTTTACATTAATTTTTTTCGATATAACTTTTGCTACGCTAAGTTTGTGATACCATGGCGTTACTGAAGTCACCGCGAACTGTGTGTGAGTACGGAAATGCGTAAATCTGAAATTTTAATTAATTTGAATATTTATTTAATATTACAACGGAATACCTTAAGATATGATTTAGTTTTTGTTTAAGATTGGTGCGCCGTTGAACTCAGTTCATGATTTAAATACGGCTTACAAATTTGAAAACTTTATTCTTGCCAATATACGGAATACTACCATATTAAAATTTAAAGTTATATTTAATATAAAAATTTATGTAATTCTTACCGCTCATTTCATCTTAATACCATACTTTCACATTAAGCCATTCGCTCTCTTTAGTTTTAAGTTTATATTTTTGAAAAGATGATGTGAAATTAATTGTATTATACTTTTAACATGTAAAAATTTTAACAATATACCAGTAGTAAACTACCGAACAAAACCAATACAAATCAATTTAATAACATAATCTAATATACCCTATAGTTTCCATTAAGTTACAATACTGCAAACATGTTATACATCTCTATATACATAATATTATATGTAAATGCAAAAAAATAAATTTTATATTTTATAACTTTTTCTACATATATACATGCACATGTACAAATTCGCATACGAACTGAAGGGTTGTAATTTAATATATTTTAATGGTTGGTTATTTTTCTATTTTATAGTCAAATTAATTTTATTTTACATAACTTTTATATACATGAATAATACTGCAGTATATAAATATGTATAGGTATGTATATATCGTAACATATATTTTTAAGTATATATGTATATCAATAAAATATTATGTAAATCAATATCTTCAGACATTTTAATCTATTATTTTTGAATATATTTAAGTACTTTTTTAGTAAAATGTTATAAGTATATATAGATACATACATTTTGTATATCGTTTTTAAGAAAGGAATATAGTAGAAATATAAAGTAGGTTATAGATGAATTAAAGAAAGTATTTATGTAGTATAGAATATACTTAATTTTTTTCTTTGAATAAAATCCATTTGTATGTACCACAGTTAAAATAAGGAATACCAACTTTTATAAAATACCATTATTGTTTCCGAATTAAATCCAAACAATTGTTCCTACTCTTACGAGTATAAGTCCAGAAAATATTTTGTAAAATAGTATATAAATCTTCTCCCGGAAAACTATTAGTATAACTATACATATACATACATATTATATATACATTATATTATGAATAAGTGTGTATACATAATATGTGAGTGCAAAGCCTCGTATATGCAAATTACAAATTTCGAATAATTCATACAATTAAAGTAAATTATGCCGCATTTCATAAAAATTATTGCGCATTTTTTATAAGAATATGGCGTTCTTATATATATGGATATGTACATATAATATGGTACATACATACAAACATATCAAATAAAATATTCAATACAAAATATTATTTTTGTAATTTCGCTTTAAATTTTAAAAATTTTTTAATTTAAATAAATAAATTCATAACAAAATATAAATGAAATATAAATAATTTTTGATTTGTGATTATTTTTAAGAATATTAAAGCTTTCACGGGTCACTGACATTTTAAAAACAAGAAATAATAAAATAAAAATAAATAAATTATTAAAATTGTGTTTTTTTTTCGAGTGAGGGTGGATTATGTACAAAAATACCAAAACACACAAGTATACCTACAAAATTTATATGAAAAAGAATTAGTTGGGAATGTGAGTAAAATAATAATGATTATGGCGGGGATTTTTAACGAAATGTTTTTTTAATTTTCAATTTTATTTTTATTTTCTATAAATCATTAATAATTTAGAAGAAATGAAAATGATGAAATATTTTTTTTTTAAACAAATTATTTTTTTGTTCGAATAAAACTGTTGTTTTTATTTTGATTTTAAATTGTTAATTTTAAAAGTTAATTTGTTAAATTTTGAAAAAAAAAAAAATTGAAAAAAATTTTCCTTAATTTAAAATGACATGAGGAAAATTTCCATGTTTTTTTTTTTTTGATTTTGTTTTACTTATTTCTTTCCAAATTAAAATATTATTTTTGTAGGTGTATGAGTAAATGAAATTTGTTCTTTCCAAATGATTCGTGATATTTTGTGTCTCATTGCACTCGCAAGTATTCAAATTTCTTTATAAAAAAAAAAACACAAATTTAATTAATATGGGGGCGTTCTATAATGCATCACAAATCTTACTCAAATAAAATCCAATAATAAAATTTATATAGTTTTCATTTTGAATGTTTACACAAAATATATAAAAAAATAAGAAAAAACGAAAAGTTAAAATCAAAAATTTTGTAATTTTAGAACAAAGGATATGCATTGAAATTCTATATACGTTGCTTATACACCGTAGCCCGTGACCATAAATTCTTAAGTGTTTATAATTTGCGTAAAATAATGATAACGTTGCATTAAGTTAAAATTTATTTTATTCTGCAATTTGTATAATTTATTTTGAACAAAGAGAAAATTCATTAATTTTACATTAAAAAAAATTTTCATTTAATTTTTGTTTGTATTTCTTTAAAATGGATTCCTTTTAATTTAATTAGTTGAAGATGATTTTCAGTGAATATTTTAAATTTAGTTGTTTACTTTTAGATCACCCATTTATTTTTTTGTTTTATTTTTGGAAGCAATTATTTCGATATTATTGTGAAAATGCATTAGAAAATATTATTTATTCATATTTTTGTATATACATAAATGAAATTTAGAACCACTTAAAATGGCTACGTATGTTTTTGAATTAAATATACCTTTATGGTTAAAAGATCGAAAATGGGTAAAACTTTTCGGACTGGGTGCCAAATCTCAAAGGTTTCCGAGTTCCAAGGATTTTAACGAATTTTTACGAAATTTTTACTTATTCAAGATTTTTGGATTATAACTTCCATTATGAAAAATAAACCTTCAAATAAACCGTTTCTGAAAGGCCTAGTAAAGGTCTTAAAAGAGAAATGCTACTTGATTTTGTATTTTATGTATCTTCGGAATACTAAGCATTCGAACTTTAGTGGAAAATCAAATTTTTCCCTTGTTTTAGTTTTTCAGTTTTTTCTAACTAAATAATTTCGTAAGAAATGTTTTAAAATCTTGAAA